TTTTCGTTGTCACTGTTACTTTGTAGACTCGCATAGTCTTCTTTAGTGTCTATTGTAGTATCTACACTAGTTCTAGAACTATTACTTTTATTCCTTTCAAATTCTAGCTGTTCTAATAAAGTAACTCGTTCTTTTACCAATTCATTCTTTTCATTTTGTACTTTTTCTAGTTCGGAACGAAGATAAGTTAAAGCTTGTATTAAGGAATGTTGGTTAACCATCACAGGTTGTTCAACCATAGGTTGTTCAGCCTTTGAAGAAGTGGCTACCGAATTTTCTAATGGTGTTTGTTGAAGTTCCGCCATCGTAATTAACAAAAAATAAAAAAATGTATTTTTTCATACTGATTGGTATGGAAATATCGATTAACTATTGTGTAACCTTTGTGCAGTGTCACATTAGATATTTTTAATTCAGTCTAATCGACGACAATCTTTCGATATTTAAAATCCCAATGAGTGCTGTGAGAAGATTTAAAGCAACGGATCTATTTAAATTTAACAATGTGTAAGTGAAAAAGTATTCTATGAGATAATTCAACCTTAAAAATAAGAAGTAGTATATATGGACCTTTATTTTTTCCTCCAGAAACCTTGATTTCTTGACCGAAACGGTAAATTTTCCTTATTTTTTTTCATATAAAATTACTTTAAACTTACACACCCTATGATTCTTGTATAATTTGACCAATTATGATAGTATAACATTTCATTCTATCTGTCTTATCTGGCGAGATGGCCGGACCTTTTCTGCGTACAAGAATCGCCTAGCGGAGCCATGATGGGATACAGTTGAGTATATATGTTTTCGTTGAAAAAGTCCATTGATATAATTGATATAATTGATATAATTGATATAATTGATATATCTTTTATTTTATCTCAAGTCATGGGAAAGGCCGAAGGACGAGGTAAAGAATGGCATGGCCATGTGACAGCTATAACAGTTGCTTCCGAGTATCGACGCATAGGGTTGGCAGATGGGATGATGAAGTTGTTGGAGAACGTATCAGATAAAATGTTAGTGCTTTATTTATTCTCTTTAATTCATGCACAGTTTATAACAAAGATTTTTTATATTCTAAATAAAAGCTATAATGGATATTTTGTCGATCTATTTGTCCGTGTATCGAACACTGTGGCAATTGGCATGTATAAGAAATTTGGATATTCTGTGTACAGACGCGTTATCGGTTATTATTCGTCTGGTGATAATAATGAAGAGGATGCTTTTGGTATGTTTATTTTATAATATGCATAATATGTATGTAACTTATAACTTAGTCCTATAAATTATTTCTCAAGATATGAGGAAACCTTTACCAAGAGATGAGAATAAAGAAAGTATTATTGAGAACGGTGAACAGAATCTTGTAAAACCAGAAGATTTATAGCATTAAAAGGTTAACTTTTTAAAATTTTGTTACGTATTACATAATTTGATTTCTATCCTATTGCTAATTTGTGTAATTCTATAGATGCAATTAGTGTAATCTAGTGTAATCTATCATGTTAAGTACTATAACACGAATTATTTTTGAATTATTTTTGAATTATTGTTGAATTATTGTTGAATTATTGAGTGGTGTTTTGACTTCATCATTCTGCCCTATTATTAATTAAATGTATTATATGAATGCAACATTGAATTTTATTAACATGAAATCATGTAATTAGTTTGAAGCTTTTAATTATATGCATATGTTTAAAAGCAATGTTAGTGTGGCAACCTTCACGTGTATAAAATAACATCATTCGCATAACATGATAATCAATCATCATTTTTTGGCATTGTCTTTTTGACCAAACGGGAATGATATCCATTGTCTCCGAATAGTAACACTAATTACCATATAACGATAAATATTGAATCTCTGTGTTTACATACTTATGCATACATAAATGACACTTGATTTATGTTTACAAAGCTCTGCCCTTTCATTTATTAAAATTTTTAATTGTTAATTGTTAAATATTTATACGTACTATATCGATATAGTAGCGAATTGTTAATCATCAATATACACTGATTGTTGGTATTTAATTCTTATAATAATGCATAATTAAAATATGCAGATTAATAATTTAAATCTTCAAATACTTGATTAAAATATGCCGATGAATAAGTATTCAATTAAATACGTAATACGTAGCGTAAACAAATTATTAATCTTTAAATGTTACAATTTAAAACTGCAATACTTAAAATTTATACGTAATAAAATCATATCAATACGTATTAAATAATTAAAAAATATTATTAACAATTTTTTGATCGCTAATACAGTATATAATTCGTAATTAATACGGTCATTATGTCTATCATTAATCATGCTGTATATTATTATGTTCTTAATATATCTCCCTCCGAATTTATTCATTGGTTCATTTCACAGATCACCAATTATTTTTTAATAATGTTCTCTCCAACATGCATCGTTTTATATTATTTGTCTCTCATCGTTCTTTGTTCCCATGCCATTATTTACACATTAATATTGCTAATGATTATTTATGTCTGTTATTCCTAGTGTCTCGTGTCGTATTACTTATCAGTATCGTTATGATGCTCAACATCTTGTATGTATATCTACATATACAGTATTAATAGGAATTTTCTTAGCTCAACTTCATCGAATCAAATCCCGTATTAAGAATGAAGGAATTGTTGAAAATATTCATGGAAATAGGGGACATACTTTTATTCGATCTGATCGTGCAACTATAAAT